ACCTGTGAAATATGAAAGCCCTAGCAGCAACCATTTAATAGATATGAAAAAGTTTTAAAGTTTTTCAAAGGTAAATCAAACATTAAGGTCAAGGTCAATTGGTCAAAATTAATGGTACCTAAGGAAAGGCCGTCTCACAAGAAATATACATGAGAAATATGAAAGCCATAGCACATATCGTTCAAAAGTTATGGCCAAGTTTAAAGCTTTTCAAAAGTAGGTCAAACTCCAAGATCAATGGATTACAATTGTTGGTATCCAAAGAAAGGTCTTGTCACAAGGAATAGACATATTAAATTTGAAAGCCCTAGCACCACATGTTCAAAAGTTATGGCCAAGGTTCAAGTTTTCCAAAAGTAGGTCAAACTCCAATGTCAAGGACAAAGGGTCAAAGTTGGTGGTATCCGAAGGAAGATCTTGTCACAAGGATTACATGTATGAAGTATGAAAGCCCTATCACTAACTGTTCAAAAATTATGGCCAAGGTTAAAGTTTTTCAAAAGTAGGTGAAATTCCAAGGTCAAGGATAGAGGGTCAAGGTTGTTGATATCCGAAGGAAGATCTTGTCACAAGGATTACAAATGTGAAGTATGAAAGCTCTAGCATCAACCGTTCAAAAGTTATGGCCAAGGTTAAAGTTTGGTAAAATTTTGCAAAACTGGATCAAACTCCAAGGTCAAAAGGTCAAATATGATGGTACCCAAATAAAGGTCTTGTAACAAGGAATACACATGTGAAATATGAAAGCTATAGCTTCAACCATTCAAAAGTTATGGGCAATGTTAATGTTTTTGCGGACAAACTGACAAACAGGACGGACTGAGCAAAAACTATATACCCCCGAATCTTCGATACGGGAGCATAAAAAGCGAGAAAAGATCAAAATTAATGGATCAAGGCTTGTAGTTACGCAATCAAAGCATTTTTGAAGCTACGCTAAGAAAATAAAACTATTATTTGAATGTCTTTTAAAATGTTTTGTCTTTTTAGCAAGATTGTTTTGAAGGACGGACCATTCGTTATCTATTGTAGTAAGAAATGCAAATAGATGATATCACTCTTTTGAATAGGTGAAATCACCAATTGAAAACGAAAAGGTGATTTTTATCAATTGGAATACTAGTATATAGAATATATATCACATAAAATATGCATCATTATAAATATGTAGTTTTTCTTATCCATATATTTTATGACTTGAATTTGTAGACCACGCTGTTTCTTACTTAAAATTTAGTTATTTATTTTTAAACATACATATCATTTTTTCCTTTTTAAGTATCGTCAACATTTGTTTTAAAATTTTAAGGGATTTATTATTCATTCTTTTAAGAATAGGATATTGTATTACTTTGACGTAATGATTGTAAAATTAATGCCATTTTTTCATCAAAAAGGTTTCTCTGATGATTCTCAGAGGCTTGTTCGGGACTTGGTTTCTGCAAGTTTTAAGGCACTAAAAACAGGAAGCCATATTTTATTATCGATAAATAGAGGATATTCAATGTTTTGTAGATGAATATGGAATTTATTTCACGAGTGGGACAGGATTTTTTGATATTTTCACGAGTGCGAAGCACAAGTGAAAATATAAAAATAATCCTGTCTCACGAGTGAAATAAATTCCATATTCATCTACAAAACATTGAATTTTCTGTTTATTACATTTTCTTTGATTTTCTTTTGCCTCTGTTTTTTCTTAACACAGTGTCATAGGCTTGACGTCATAGTTGAGTGGATGAGACGTCATAGCTTAGCAGTTGTGAGATTGAAACATTATATAGCATGGATTTTAGCAACATATTTGGGGAGAAATTTGCAGTTTTAGCTCTATCTCTATCTTATGACAGGCCAGAAATTATTTTTTCTTACTTTGATATCCTTTCACACTGTGAGAGAATATCATTTTGGTATCCTTTCACACTGTGAGAGAATATCACTTTTATTCAATAAATAAATCACAGTATTTCACTGTTGAAAATGTAATAAATTACACAAAACGATATACTTTTTTCAAGTATTCGCAAAAATCAAACGGTTTTGTTTGGAATATTCAATTCAACGATATAAGATATCTTCAATGGTTTTCCTGTTGAGAATAAATATATTTGATATGATTTAGGGGCATTTTTATTGGCAATTTTTTAAATTATAATGTACTAAAAAGGGTTTTACAAATGTTGAATTTTAAAAAATCGGCAAACGTAGAGTTTTTATCATCCACAATCTATAAGAAGAATATCATAAATATTTCTTGAATTTACTTTGAAACTTTTAATTTTTGAAATTCTCACAGTCGTCATGGCAAAAGACATATTGTTCAAGAGTAGTGATGAATTATTATATTTTACACTATTATGCTAAATATTCAATACTCATGTATTTGCATAGTACAATACTGTACAGCTTCCTTTCCTGGAGAATACTATACAGAAAGTAAATAACTTAGCTTATGTAAACAATAATAACAATGAAGAGAAAGTATCAGTAAATATAACAAAACTGTCTGTAAGTAAAATATGTGTAACTTTACAGGGATTGATAACATATGGTGTTTTCTGCATTCCTTTGCATTGCATTTTAGCAAAATTGTCTTGAAGGACGGACCATTCGTTATCTAATGAGAAAGAAATGCAAACAGATGATAACACTCATTTGAATAGGTGAAATCACCCATTCAAAACGAAAAGGTGATTTCGTCCATTGGAATATATAGGTGATATCATCTATTCGATGGGTGATATCATCCATAACTCTCAATTACTAAGAATTTTAATAAATATAATTTAAAATATGCATCATTATAAAGAAGATGGGCAAACAAGACGTGCAGAATGCCTATAGCTTCAGATATATATAAATTATATTCAATAAGTTTTTGGAATAAAGTTCTTATTATTGAAATTTAAGAAATTATGACAATCAAACTTTTCTGCCGAAAATTTTATTAAAAAAATAATGTGGTATTCTTGGGGTTCGAAGCCTTGGCAATAAAAATCCTGAATATCATTTTTACTTTGAGAGTATCACGCTAACCACTACGCTACACAACTTTTGACAAATCATGGTATTTTAATGATGTTTGTGAAACGAACCTTGGACTTCAACTATTTCTCGGAAATATTCGAATTCTGTGTCATAAAAGTGTATATTCTTAATGTTTAGTGGGTCTTTGCTCCATGTTCTTGTTAGCCAAAAATAGGATGCCATTATTTCAATACAATTTTCAAAAACTGGAAAATTTTGCAAAAAGACACAAAACAAATCGGATCTTCTTAAAGTCTGATCTTAGTACATGTACATGTAATCATAAGCTTTGACTAATTCATGTTTGATTTTGAAACTACAGTATCATTGTGTTTCAATGCAAAACAAATCCTTATAAGGAAGGATTATTGCGTTTAAACGCAAAGATTATTGCGTTTAATCGCTAAAATCATTGCGTTTAATCGTTAAAATCATTGCGTTTAATCGCAATACTATTGCGTTTAATCGCAAAAAGTATTGCGTTTTAACGAAAAAATATTATTGCGTTTAAACGCAAAATGTATCGCGTTTAATCGAAAAAGTATTGCGTTTAAACGCATAAGATTGCGTTTAATCGCAATCTTTTGCATTTAAACGCAAAGTGTTTTGCGTTTAAACGCAATATACATTGCGTTTAATCGCAATCTTTTGCGTTTAAACGCAATGATTATTGCGATTAAACGCAATGTTTTGCGTTTAAACGCAATAATTATTGCGTTTAAACGCAAAAAAAAAAATTTCTTTCTCTGAACTGGCCTCAACGGGCTTCCGTAAGGACCCACTCATACAGTATGGAAAAATTGTGCTTTAGTATGAATAATTGATCATTTTTGCCCTTTTTGGTGTATGTATGCTATTTCATAGACGAATAATTTCAATCTTTTTGAGATTGTTGCGATTTTTGGGGAATTTACATAAAGTATATGTATAACGTTAACGTGTACGTTAAAGTCGCACCATAGGCATTTCGCTCCTCTTGTCCGCCCATCTTCTTTGAAAGGTTTACTTATCCATATCTTTTATAACTTGACCTTGTAGACCATTCTGTTTCTTACTCTTAAAATTTATTAATTTATTACTATACAATTATTTTGACGAAATTTAAGTAGCAAGTAAAATTTTTAGGGATTTATTATTCATTCTTTTAAGATTAGGATATTGTATTACATTGACGTGATAAATGTTATATTACTGTCATTTTTGAATCAAAAAAGTTTCTGTGATAGATGATTCTCAGAGGCGAGATAGGGACTTAGTTCTTGCAAATTTTAGAGCACTAAAACAGGAAGCCAAATTGTATTGACGATAAATTACAAATAGGTCTAGTTTTCCCTTTTTTCAAGCATTTGCAAAAATCAAACGGTCTTGTTCAGGATGTTTGAATTCTCTTTAAAATTTGAAAGTAAGAGTAAAATCTGATAACAAAAAAGTGCATTTTCATTTTTTTAAAATACATAGGACAAATAATTTACGATTCCTCAATCTTTTAAGCAAAACGTGTGTAGAAATTCATGGTTGTCAAAAGCTGAAATATTGTCATTGAATGAACACTTATATAAGGCATTTTTAAATGAAGAAATTAATTAAATTTAGTAAATGCTATTAACTTCATCCTCGGTCGGGTGTAAAACCCCCACTCCAATATCCCCTCTTCACAATAAGTAGGTTTAGATATTGCATCATTGTGTTAAAAACTTTTTCGGATATATCAATGACTGTATCTTTTTTAAATCAGTAAAATTTCCATATTTTATGTTTACGCCCGAATTTACGCCTCCTCACGAGTAGACGTAAACTATTTGCCTCACTTCAGTCCGGCGTAAATATACTCCCTTTATTGAAATTAACGCAAATCTTCGGGCTAGTCCCGAAATTACGCCGGAGTAGAGTTACGACTTGTCATACGATATTTTATGAAACGTGTCCCATTTGACAAAGGTCACTCCTAAGTAGGTCTGTTTTTCTTATGGCGGAATAATCATAGAAAGCGTGGAAAGTAGACAGATGAGGTAAGATTAAAAATCTTTACAGCATTTGCAAAGATAACAAACGCGACAAATAATTCCATAGAATGTATAGGGACTAATCTGCTTTGAAGACCTATAAATTAATGTATCATTGTCGTCGATAAGGTTTCATAGCTTTTTTTTTCATAGAAGGTGATTTTGTATTAGCTAGAAGACTAGCGAGAGTATTTCTGTTTCATTAAAGAGCGTATCTTTTTCGCCGGACAAAAATTAGGCTAAAATTTTACGTCAACTCATGGATAGGCGTAAGTTCGGGCATAAACATAAAATATGGTGACTCTAAGTATTTGAAAACTATCGAAACAGTCAATATGATGTATAATTTAAACCTACATATTGGGGTTTTTAACGGGGGTTATACCGATCCAGTGATGTGATTGACAACTCATTTTTTTTTGGGGGGGGGGAGGGGGGGTTGTTTCATTGCTGAAAAAGTGGTAGATGTACAAAGTTTCTGGTATATTTCGGATATACATGTACTTAATTTCGTTTTTGTATTGTAAACGATTTTGTGTGACTTAATTTTCATTTTTTTTTGTCTTTCTTTTTTCCATATCTGATCTGCCATATATCATGTTTCCAACTCAAGAATTATCGAATTAAGTATTAAATCTTACAATATATTGATCAAATCATGGAGTTTCAACCCAAAATTTTAACTCATAGGAAACTGTATAATTAGTCACTCAAAAAATCGTAAGAATCGATGTCTCAACACCCTCATTCGGCGCAGCGGTACGTGATTGTTTACGAATTCTTAAATGTATATCAGGCCACTTTTAGTGATTTGATAATTTGTTTGTCCTCTGAAGACCAAGTATTTCATCTATGGATCGATCCTTTTTACAAAGAGTGTGTGAGAAAGTTTTAAAATTTGTTATTGATAGGTTCAACATGCCTTTTTGTGATTATTCAATCGAGTAGATCTTCGAGGGGAAATCTTTTTTAAAAAAAAAAAAAGCTAGAACCAAAAACAAATCAATACAAAAAACACTACTTTTGCAAGCCCAAGCACATTTCCCCTCGATCTCATCTGTGTTTTATACATTGGATTTGAATTAAAGCAGAGAGCAAATCTCTCTAAAAGGTTTGCAAAATTTCATTTTTTAAAGAAATAAATGAACCATATTTAGTTTCATGCATATGGCAACAGCAGCTATTTTGGATTTTTAAACACCAAAATCTTGGAGAGACACTTGCGCATCAATATTATTGTCTTAACAACTGGAGAAAAAATCCATTTAAAATAAAATTCCTTTTGGTTTCCATGCATTCCATACATTTAAACCAATATTCCTTTAGAAACCGGTTTGACCAGATCAAAAAAATAAGATTTTTATACTTCAAGAGAATTGGTTGGACGGTTACTGAGAAAAATGAGATTTAAAAATATCAATTTTTCTCCTCCTTCATATGTTTCAATGGAACTGATCGGCATTTTGAAAAAGGGGCACTTGTAACAATAAATGTATGTAAGTACAGCCAAGATATATTATTGGGGGAAATTTTGCTCTGAGGGAAATCACACTCTATAACTACTACACAGAGTACATGTAGGATTTCCCCCCGGAAAATTGAATCAGATGTGGGATTAGACGTGGGATCAGAAAGGGGAAATCCTACTCTAGAGTCAGTTTTTCCATGGGGGAAATCCTACTCTAGAGCCAGTTTTCCTTGGGAAAGATTTTAGAGAGGAAAGCCTAATCTACAAGTTTAACGATGCTAACCGTTTACAAACAAGTCCACACTTGTTGAACCTATATAATTTAGAATTGGTCTTAATTACATTGCTTAACAAAAATTTTGTTGTTCAAAACCCAATTACTTTTTTTTCCAATAATTAAATATCGCAAGTAAAGTCGGCAAAAGTAAGGGAAAAAAGATGGGGAATTTTGTTTCTAAAGCCATCATAAATGTTTGCATAATCATGCAAATAGGTCATGCACTAAATAATTTGAGCAGAGCATTTTGTTATCCAATCAAGTTCTCAGGTGCCATGCAATGGAGCATAGCTATAGTGCTATCGGTAATCTATTGATCAAGGATGTAATTCACGAGATAATCACATTGTGTAAACAAGCTGTTGATCTTACTTTATATGATTATTTATACAGACATAAATATAAACTATAAAATGTCTTTCTTTGTTTGGTAGTTTTGGTATTAATGTTCCAGCTATTGTAGAAAAAAAATTACATGACCTTCCTGCTCGGGGGTTATGTTTTGTTTTAACTTTTTTTTTTGTTTGTTTGTTTGTTTGTTTTTTGTTGTTTTTTTTTTTTGTTTGTTTTTTGTTTTTGTTTTTGTTTTTGTTTTTTTTTTTTTGTTTTTTTTTGGTTTTTTGGTTTTTGGTTTTTTTTTTTTTTTTTTTGGGGGGGGGGTTGGGGGGGTTTGTTTTTGGTTTTTTGTTTTTGTTTTGTTTTTGTTTTGTTTTCTTGTTTTTTGTTTTGTTTTGATTTTTTTTTTTTTGCAACAACTGCATTATTAACTCCCATACTAATAACCAAAAAAAGCATTTTATTCTTTGAATTAGCCCAAGCAGGTTTCGTATGTGTGAAAAATTTTACATGTAACCTTTTTGGCTATATTTCGTTAGCTTACTTGGGTCTGCAACCCCGTTAACAACCATCCCGTCAGTACACAAGTTATCCTGATCTGCTGATTGACATGGGTTGATATCGACGTCGACATCGTAAACTAAATGGAGTGTGTTAGAGGTGCATATGTATTTGCACCTGTCTATTTTTTCAAATTAATGATAAAAAAAATACACTTTATAACACCTTTGATATCTACACATATATAAACTGTAACGTTACCGGTAAAACGTGTTGTTTAAAATGGATTACGGATAATAAATGTATAATTATTTCTGACTTTAGATAATGAGTTTCTGAAATAAAATAATCGTGTTGGAATTAATTTCGTTGTTTACTAACAGACACGAAAATAACGAAATTTAATCCAAACGAAATTAAATAAGTTTACAGCATACATGAAAACCATATATCCTGAAGTCAGAAACATATTAAGGAGAAGCGCGGACTTAGAATTTAGCCCGGGGGAGGGGGGTCTGTTTAGGGGTCCGAGGGAACAAAGTCCTTTAGAAGCTTTAGTTAAACATCTATTAGGAAAATATATTTTTTACTCAAAGGGTTCAGTAATTTTACATTTATAACGTCGATATATGACAATATCTTAATTTTTAAAGACTGATATTAAATCACTATAAAAATTAGAATAAATGTCGATGATATTTGCCTTTAAATTTCGTTAAAAAATTGCTTCTGTTGAAAAGAAAGATACTTGAATTTTAAGGAAGAAATTGAATGACCGACAAGATCAAACCATGATACATGTAGTCCATCCTATGCCCAACTACATTTAGTAAACTGTAATACATGCGGAATATCTACGATCTAATTTATTAACACTAAGTCAAAATGAAATCCTGCCGAAATATGGCTGAAATAATGATTTTTAATAAGAACAATCAATCAATCAAAATGAAATCAGCATACATGAATATACATGTAAGATATATTTTCTTAGATATTAACCAACTAAGAAGAGTGAGACACCTCTATTTTGTGGCATATTTCCTTTGAATGAATAATGTTTACATCCACTGGATATTTCCTTTATTTCTTGAGCAATGACTCTTCCATCAATGTAACACAACGTACATGTAGATGATGTTTGTAGATAATAAGGTGTTTTTGATGTGTCTCCTGATATTAATGACTTTAATGTTGATGGAATTTTTACGAAAGCTTTGGCCCTTAGACTCTGAAAATTTCCATTAATTTACTGTTTTTCGGACTTCATTTTTCTTTTTCTGTGATTGTAGATAATGGGCTGATTTTTGGTATTATAATATCTCTTGATTTCGACGACTTACGGATCAAGTTCTAGTTTCGTGATGATTGACCATTTTTTTTAACAAGAATTATGGCTCTTAGACGTTGTAAAGTTCTTATAATTCACTGTTTTCTGGACTTTTTGTTTGCTATAATGCTTAGAGATATGAGTTGCAGTTGATGTTCGGTATTTCTCTTGATATTGGTGACTTAAAGATCAAATATGAATTCTTTGTTGATTGATCCATTTTCCAAATATAGCCCTCAGAATTTGAACATTTCTAATCAATCACAGTTTTTGCCTTTTTTTATTGCTTTGATTAAATGTGTAAGTGATCACCATTTTACGCAGCATAAACATGTTGTGGTAAAGCAGTTTGTGAGATATTTTATCTTTGTGCCATTTCCACCCATTGCTATTTTGACAATCCAGGATTTTCACATTGAACTTGCGAATTGTGACTGTCTCATATCAGTTTCTAGCATACACACCAACAATAAAGATCTATATCACTCCTGAAAAAAGAGTTTAATTGCCTGGTAGATAGGAATCAACATGCTCATCTACCTGTCTTTATATGTAACTTCGTGAAAGGTAATTTTGTAAGTAAAAAAGAAGCTCACTAACAAGCACAAAAGTTGCTTATGATGAAAAGGGTTATTTAGAAAACATGTAGATCATATGCAGGATTCAGAAGAGACTATAGGAAGACGGATTTCTGCATCTGAAGTATTATACCCCTGAATAACAAATTGAGTCCCGATCCTCATTCCTGATGCGAAATAAATATCTTTAAAGCATTTTCAAGATTCAGTTTTTAACTTGCAGCTAGAATTCAACTTACATAAAACATGATTCCAATAGTTGATTTGGCGCCCTATTCATTATCGGCAACAGCGGACCAAGTGGATACCTCTACATTACGTAAACTAGCCGATGAGATATGCCATGCTTTTCAAGATGTTGGCTTTGTCTATTTGAAAAATCATGGAATACCTCAACAATTGGTCAGTGATAGTTGAACAGATCTATAAAGAAAAAAATCAATAATAAAGTATTGAAACAAATTAACTTCAATTTTGACATCAATATTTATGATAAAGATGAATATTTTTCATTCTACAGTTGTTATGCTTATAATTATAACACCTTGTGTTTCTGTAGATCAGCGACGTGTTTACAACATCTGGAACTTTTTTTGAACAACCAGAAGAAATGAAACAAAAATATGCTATTCCCCGAGGAGAATTTCACGGCTATATTTCATTTGAGGAAGAGAAGTATTCATGCTTTTTGACTTCCTTTACTTACTTTTTTGATTATTTTCCATCTTTGCTTCGTTAAAGAGTAATAATCATGCCATTAAGTAATTTGTTAGACGAGAAAAAAAAACACCTTTTAAAATTAAAATGGTTTAAACATTAACTAGTATAAATAATGAAGAAATGTTAATACATGTTTACTGTCTATTGATTGAATTCTATACATCTGTATACATCTATCAGTATTATCATAACCTATCAGTTTTTTCAGTTTGCTTCACAATTTAAAAATATAGTTATTTAAATTTTCTTTTATGTCAAATCTTGATTTTAAAAAAATTAATTCAGTATTATGTATTTTCGTTCATATATTTACGTCACGGTATTTAATCGTATGACTTTTTGCTATCCGTTACTGTTTGTCGTCTTCCGTCGTCCATAAAGTTTTTGAACATTTTAAGCTCCTTCTCTGATATAAATTATTTTTAGCACATAACATCTATAGATAAAGGGGAACAAAACTAAATTTTATGGCATCAGTCCCTTTTGGGAATGAGATGTGGGGACAAAACCCTCAATATTCTAGCACTCTTTAAAAATCATCTTCTTTACTCATGGACATCTTGTAGGCAAACTGCATGAGAAATTTTGAAATTCAAATTTAATTTCTGGTGCGGGTTAAGGCTTCAGGTATGTCTTAGTCATACACTGAAAATGCATAACAACTCATGGCTATTAAGCATGCAATCGAACTGTTGTATGTTTAAACAAAAACTCGCCAACCTTTCCAGATTTGTGAAATTCATTTACCTTGGTGAACCCTCAGGCTGTAGATAAGTTGGTTATATGCTTCAAAGGTATTGCTAAGTCTCCCTTTTGAAATTTATTTATATTTATAGACTTTAAAGAACAAAATGTATGCACAATGGTAGTCATGAAAAAGGTGAAGATAACGACCAGTGATCAATCTCAGAAAATCTACAAAAAATACAGATCTCTGAACACGGCATAAAACACGGACCCCGGGAAATTCCGAAAGTGGAATCAGGTGCCTAGGAGGAGTAAGCATCCTCTGTTGACCGTAAGACCTACATGTAAGATCTTTGTATTGATCAGGTAGACGAAACATTTCATAGTAAAATTAAGTATAAAAACAAAGGCCTAAAAATTGGAATGAAACACGTCAGCCCAAATACGACCCATTGATAGGTTGTATTTGCTACCAAGGTCATTATGACGACGATAGAATTTACAGAATACACGAGATTGTTAAAATCAATGTAACATCAACTTATTTGTCAGTTACGTGCCTCGGTTTAAAAATTGATCGTACTCGGAGCATGTTCTTAATTATCGAATAAGTTGGGAAATGAAAACAGAATATGCAAGTGATAGTGGAATATTACTACAAAATAAATAAGTAAAAATCATCTCGTTATACAAGATAGTATGACTCTTATCGTCTATAGTCAGTAAAACATCCAAAATATGAAACAGATGTGGCAGACTCCAGAAGGTCATAGCAAGTTAAACGTATAGCTCCTCTACCAAATTGTGAAATTTATGTCACAGGGCGCATGCTCCGATTGAATGCAATGTCGATCATATACTCGCATACATATATATGTGATTATAGTAAGTAAAACATATGGTTCCTCGACCAAATTGTGAAATATATAGGGCTGCGCAATAATATCGATATTCCAGTATATTGCGATTCGTCAACAAAAAATACCGCATTGCGATACGTTTTTCCAGTACCGGTATATCGGTAAAATGCTTGGGCTTGGGATTTTAAAAGTAAAAATATGAAAATTAAGATGCCAGTAACGCTTTCAATCATGCCAAACTATAAGGTTGCCGTTGTATGGTTGTATTTCGTTGCAAAACTGAAGTGAAATCGACAACAACTTTTTTGCTACAACGTATTTATAGTACACATGTAGTTTTATTCACTCTTGTCATAAATGGAGGTTAATAAAATAAAAAAAGAGCATTTTAACCTTTATTAAAAATATTGCAATACATATCGCAATACAGTTTAAAATATCGAAATTCCCAGCCGATACCCAGCCCTAGAAATTGATGTCCTAGGGCGCAAGTCCCAGAGGTGGCGTAATGTTGATCATATTTTTAAAATGCATGTTATCATTAAAACATCCCTAATCCTCAGCATCTAAGAGACAAGTTACCTGTAAATCCCAAAATGAACATGGAGCCCTCACTAAATTGGAAAATTTATGAATCGAGATTTTCAGGTGAGAATGAGTTTTCATAGCGTAGAAAAAATCATGATACTCTGGTGATCGGTCCTCTTGGTTTCAGTATAAATAAAACAGTCTTCTTAGATCCGCGCCGGGTACACTTCTGCGTAAGAGTGTAAACGTTGTGGACCTAAAAAGTCTGATTTTAATAAATTTCTCTTGTTCTGAATAGAGTCAATCACGACAGACCAGTTTCTGATGCTCGAGAAGGTTACACTATGTTATTTTCCAAGGATGGTGTAAGTTGAGAATTTTCTTGTATGCCCTGAATCGAAACTATTGGTACATACATGTATGCAGATTGACCGATATATGCATCTTTCAATCTAGCTGTCGTCCGTTTGGAATTAACATATTTACAGCAGTTATAACTGCTTTTATCAAACTTATTTCTTGACATGGCCTATATTAATGAAATTACAGTAATGAGCCTTGGATTTGTTTCATGTAAATTGTAATTTTTGAGGCTGTCTCAGTGATGGGGAAATATATCTTTTACCATATGCCTCTGTTTTGAGTAATATTACTGCTGATATATTTATAATTAGGGACAGTTATCGATAACAGGTAAACCGGTTACCTGGTAAAAATCTATAATCGGTTAGTTGAGAGAAATACATGTATGTATAAATTTAAACTCAATTTCATATCAAAATTCACCTCAAATTATTTTTTTAAAAATCTCAATGTTGATATTTTTAAAATTTGATTTGGAGGTAATAAAGAATCTCCTGATTGATATTGTTGGGGTATTCGGTCAGTTTGTGAAATGTTTAAACAACCGTCAATCCCCAACCTGGGAAAGATATTTATAAAATCACTGTTGAGTAATGTGATCGTTATATATTGTCGGCAAAATTACAGTTAAAACCAAAAATGTAAATTGATAGGCTTTTCTTTTTTTTTTTCTTTTTTTTTTTTTTTTTGATGTTAAGAATGCAAAATAAATTTATGACATCTGGTGTAAGAAAAAAATTTTGGTATTAGACATCTGCTATCTTTTTGTCTCCCGCTTTCACTGAAAGTGGGGGATATTGATTTGGGTCTGCCCGTCCGTCTATCTATCTATCTGTCGGTCTGTATTTCTGTCTGTGTGTAACATTTTCGTTTCCTGACGATATATCAAGAACCCTTTGAGCTTTTGCAATGAAATTTTATATCACAATTGTCCATGGCCTTAAAAAACCCAAAGGTCCAAAGGTCTAGGTCATAAATATGCATTGCACATATGTAGTCTTCATATAATAATTTTAGTTTTTCTATAAGTTTTTACAATGATAATTTTGGTTATGAATTTCTTTAACTTTGAAAATACTCCTATTGACTTTTGGGTCAAAAGCTGAAAGGTCAAGGTTGTTTTTTTTTTCCCTTTCTCCATCTGCAAAATTTTCCACTTCTTCCATCCTCTCCTTTTTCCTTAAGCGGGGGACACAAATTCTCTGAACTAGCTTGTTAATTTTTGTTTTTCTTTGCTTGTGAAATTTTAAATAAAAACGGTGTTCTGTTAAGGAGGCTGGGGGGTCAACAAATTAACCATCAGATACAACTTAATCTTAAGCTGTCAACTATCATTTGGCAAACAAAAATTTCATACATTTTAGTTTTAAAATTTGATCATTTTTGTATATCTTTATATGGAGCTCTTCTTCTAAAGGAGATCAATATAGTCTGAAAATGGCCACAACCACCCAGCCCTCTTAAGGTAGTATGGGATACCTCCACGTTATGACGTATTTCCGTTGATGTATTGTTTTGATTTGCATGAGTGCTTATTATCGGGTCAAAATTTGTAGATACTCCGTTGATAAGATCGTTCTGAAGTCTATTTCAATGCAAGTTCTCACAAGTCGGCATTTTAAGTAAAAAATGACAAAAATATCGCAAGTATGTAAAGGATGACTGCACTTAACACCTGTTTTTGGGTCTTTTTCGGTTGCCTCTGTTGCTTTTATATCTTAACCTTTTTTCACTTTTGTATGTTTATGAAAGAATCCTGTCAATTTGGAACCAAATTTAAATCATAAAATGATTTTAGACTGTGATACAATAAAATGATTCAATGTTTTTGTCCTTACTGCTTTCCAAATATAGCGAATTTACACTTACCTGCCCTTGATTGAACACTAGATATGCATGAGAGGAGGAGCTAACATTGTAAGAATGGGTTTAAAATTAGACTTGATGAACAGCTGATAAATAACAATATGTTTGGAAAAAAAGAACGTGATCACTCTTTCCAATCTCCATCTCCATTCTGTATGGCACAAATACACTTCTGACAAAAGTTTCAAAACGGAATTAACAATATGAGCACGTCAATGTAATTAAAGCAGATTTTATATCAATGCAAGACGACTTAACGTGTTCGAACACAATGTCCTAGCTAGCACTAAACATGCTACCTTACAAGTCACGTGACGAAATTTGGTATTCACGAAGTTACCTGAGGTAAGAAATCACGTGGTGAATTATAATATTCAACATGTCACAATCCTTGGTTACAACACAGAGAGCGAATGTAAGAAGAAGCAGTTTTTTCTCTTTTTAACCATGAGCGCATGTTTGTCTATTCATCTTCTTTTGACACATTATTATTTATACAAATATACAACTACTGTTAAACGTAGAACAATAGACAAACATGCGCTAACTATATATAAAGTCAGTAAAAAAGTGGGCGTCCTCATTATCGAACGGAGATTCAAGAAATTGTGAAGACCCCTGCCTTTAAAAACAGATTCGAACTTCGTAAATACACACTTTCATTAAATGTAATTACACAAAGTTGTAGATTGGATGTTGACCATTCTTGCAAGGAAAAGAAAAATGCTTGTTTTGAAAGTTTATTTTGTAGCAAATTTCGCATGTCCTTAAGTGCAGTCATCCTTTACTTATAATTGTACGACGGACATTTAAAAAGCAAACCTGTATATAACCTGTATACCTGTATAATTTCTAAAAAATTAAGTTATATCTGATGGTTAATTTGTTGACAAACCCCCCCCCCCAGCCTCCTTAAGCAAAAGCTGTATTTCAATTGTTTGAGTAACTGTACAGCACCTTGTGTGCGGTGAGGCATGGATAAGTGCGATTACTTCACATTGTGCTGAATTATCACCAATCAATTATCACGTTAACCAGAGCTGGACTTCTTTGTTATTTAATTCAAGAAGTAACTGTTTGGTCACAAATCAGCTAGCTGTTGTATGTAGTCCCAAAACGTTTAGATGAATGCAATTGCTCTGAACAAGACATGTCCTGGAAAGCGATTGTCCATGCATTGTTTTCAAAACAGTACAAAGTTGAAACCTACACAGTGCGATTTTTTTGATTGGGAAAAAATGCTCATCATTTCTGAAATAGCACCCAGGTTTTTTCAACCCTTGGAAAATAAAGGATAACTCTTCCGCTCGGATCTTTTAATTCAAAAAATTTTAAATGCATTTTATATTTTCCATTTATATATATTTTTTCAATTTGTTTATTTCACTTTGCTAACATATTAAGATACATTCTAATTGTAGACTTTCATGAAATGTTATCAGTCTGTTTTCAAGAAATAAAGTTTCCCCAGTTTTTTACGCTTATTTTTGTTGAAAATTAAGAAAAAAAAATACTAAGACATATCTCTGTCATTTTTGGTTTTATATATATATATTAAGCTTATGAAAAAAGAATTATACAAGAAAAAAAATCATTTTTGTATTTCTAATTAAAATAATAAAAAAAATTATTAAAATTACAACTTCACATACTGAAAGGTGGGGGTATTTCAAATCCTCCTAATTTGGGTATATAAATATGTAGGAGAAGTTTAGTTTACGCTTAAAATCTACAATCCATTAAAGTTTAAGGCTATATTCACTTTTCCTATAGTGGCACATTCCTGTCTTTCAATCACTCCTCTATTAGCCTTTAAAACATTGTGAAATATTGACTGTATAGATATGAATATTATGCCCCCTTAGAACATAGTGTGCAATGGGGTCAGCTCTCCTCCTTTTTTGAAAATGAAATCTAAACACGTTGGTATTCTGTGAAAAATTTGTCCATGAGTAGTGTCTCCTCCTCTTTGTGTAAAGCACAGCTATGGCGCTATAAAATAATGTTTTACTCTTATTTTAATAAGACATCACCCAAAAACATGCCACCAGAAATAAGTTCAACGTTCAAGGAAATGTACATTACTTGTACAAAATTAGCATTAAAAATTCTGGACCTTCTCTCCATAGGATTGAACAAAGTAAGTGAGAACATACTTAATAAAATAAATCACAATAAACAAACATTTAACATCCATTTGTGAAATATAATTTCATTCTGAATACAAGAACACATCCTTTTCAACCTCACAGGACCGAGAATACTTGAGACAGTTTCACAGAGGAATATGTGTTGATGGGAATAACACAATGCTTCGATCAAACTACTACCCACCTCTAAAAGGTGAGTCTTTTAACAGTTTATAAATGTATTGTATAAAATATATGATACCAAAGTTAGAATAGATGGCATTCATTACTTACTCACAATACAGGATTCTAAAGACAGTAACAAATTATAAGGAAGGTTCATTTCTGTGTTAGGAATGTTTAAGGTATGAAATCCATGTGTAGTATTGCTTACAGTATGTTCATTTGAATCAGAAAATTCTACACGAAAAGAAGGAAACTCCTGCTTTGAATTTCACTTCGACATTAAGATATATCAACGACATTTTATCAAATGATAATAGTTATTTCCATTCAGATGTCATTTTGATGCATCCCCGTGATACTACAAAAGATACCACAAAGTCTGTCACATCTGTTTCATATTTGGCTATTGTAATGATTATAGACGTTAATGGCTAAATAACAACTTAACTATGTATAGAAATCGTGATGATTTCAACTTTTCCATCATAAATCTCCATTTTTTTTTGCAATGATATGCCAATATCACCTGTATATACATGTATGGTGTTTATGTCTCCCAACTGTTTCTAAACATCTAAACCACAAGTACAAGATGCTTGAGTTCCTCATTGACAATATTTATATAGTCTTCGAAGACCAGGCTTTCCTTCAATCCTGGAATTCCGAATGGACATTAATTGCGCTTCTTTATTAGCCGACCTGTTTTTATATTCTTATCAAGCAGAATTTATTCAAGAACTTTTTCATGTAACCTTCAATTTGACATTTAGAAATATCGACTTCACTTTATCAATTAATAATTGTTATTTCCATTTAATGTCGACTCAAAATATTTTGAACTCTAAATGAAAGATACCACAAAGTCTGCCACATCTGTTCCAAATTTGGATGTTTACTCATTCTGGAGGTAAATTGCCAATTGTTACTTAACTATATGACAATCGAATGACGTGCTTCTCCTTCATCAACCTTCCGTTTTTATGTACTAATGTTTCACTGTAACCTGCAGTGCTTATGTCTCCCAACTGACTGTTATACGAAACGTAGAGAATATCGTAAAGCCAAAAAATATTTCCAAAAAGTGCGTACCGACAATAATTATAGTGACATGGTTTTTAAGAGTAAACAATATAAGAAGACGTTGCAAAAACAGTTTAAGGAATACCAAAAGTCTTTTATATGTAAATTGCGTGGAATACGTTCAACAGATCCGAAAGCATATTGGTCTTTATTAAATAAAAATTGCGAGAGAGGTAAAAGTATTATTAATACTGTAGCTTTAGATACTTTTTATAAACATTTCAAGGAACTAAACAACTCTGTAGTAGATTCTGATATTGATTTGCCACACAATTTATATATATAAAATTTAACGATTAACCAAAATATTACTGAAAAAGAGGTCTTCGATGCTGTTAAATCATTGAAAAATGGTAAATCATGTAGTAGTGTTATGATACTCAATGAATTTTTGAAGAATTCCATTAGTAAATTGATGCCGGTGTTTGTCAAAATTTTCAATATTGTCTTTGAAAGTGGAATTATACCTGAATCATGAGCTAAGGGGATTATATGCCCAATCTTTAAAAATATAGGTGATCGTGCAAACCCAGACAACTAAAGAGGAATAACTATATTGAGTTGTTTTGGGAAACTATCGTGCAAACCCAGACAACTAAAGAGGAATAACTATATTGAGTTGTTTTGGGAAACTATTTACATGTATTTTGAATAATAGGCTATCCTGTTACGTGGGAAATTCTGGTATTCTTTGTGAAGAGCAGTCGGGTTTTCGGAAAGGATACGGAACTGTAGATCATATTTTTAACCTGAAGTGTCTAATCGACTTGTATTTAGCCAGGAGTAAAAAATTATATTGTGCATTTATTGACTACAAAAAAGCCTTTGATTCAGTTAATAGAACTTTACTTTGGCAGAAGCTTCTGCGCAGTAACATTAATGGTAAAATGCTTAATGTTTTGCAGAACTTGTATAAAAATGCCAAATCTTGTGCAAGAGGTGGTGCGAAATGCTCAGAGTTTTTTTTTACGTGTAATATCGGTGTGAGACAAGGTGAAAATCTATCTCCCCTTTTGTTTTCATTATTTCTTAATGATTTGACTGATTTCTTGTCCCATGCATATAATGGACTCACTGTTGTTGGTAAAATATCTCATTTACTTTTTGATAATGATGATATTGAGGTGTTTTTTAAGTTGTATTTGTTACTGCATGCTGACGACAGAGTTATATCTGCTGAAACTGCATCTGAGTTACAGTCAGCCCTGAATGCTATGTATCTTTACTGTGAAACTTGGAATCTCAAAGTTAATGCTTCAAAAACAAATGTTGTAATATTTTCAAAAGGTAGACAACCTGAAAATACTTTTTTCATGTACAATGGTGAGAAATTATCAACTGTAGAAGAGTTTCAATACCTTGGTATTATTTTTTCAAGGAAGGGTAACTTTCAGAAGAATAAATTAAGACTTGTGCAACAAGCAAGGAAAGCTATGTTTAGTGTTTTAAGTAAAGCTAGAAGCTATGTCTGCCTGTTGATATTTTATTACAATGTTCGATGCAATGGTTGCTCCTATCTTACTGTATGGTTCAGAAGTTTGGGGATACGAGAACAATAGTATTATTGAGTCATTACATTTAGAATTCTGTAAATATATACTGAAACGCAAAAGAAACGCAACAAGCAGTAATCTACAAATATTTGAATTTTTTATCTATTGATTTTCGAAAATGAATATACTAAGGTAAAACTTGATTTAAAAACATCAGAGATTTGATAAAAATGTTCAATGATTATCTCTTAACTTTAGAAAGTAACACATGGCTGTTAAAACACCCCCCACCCCGGCCATTCAATTACAGCGTGCAAGTCTGCCATGCACAACAGTTGCGGCTCGATTTCTACGATGCAATAGGTTCATCAATCTCGAGATCTGAGCGAAAGAAATATTCTTTGCCATTTTTAAATGCCTGTTTTTCAGATGATGAGGTCGAATTTTCTCTAGCCAAGCGCAGTGTAGGAACCCTTGGACTTCCGGTCCAAGGAATGTCATTCATGCTAATGATACGCAAGAGCCTGTTGAGGCGTGATGTGGGTCATATTTGCATCTGTAACTCTCCATCACCTTTATTTTGAGATTTTCCGGCTACGCAATGGAAATGCGTACTTAAGTCATTCTCAGAAAGCCTTGACATCGCTTACGGAAAAGAAAGGGGAATTTATTTCTCGGAACATTGCTGCATTATTTATGATGAACAGATACAAATCCTTAAAACCCAATATTATTGACAAATGTTTTGTTAAACATACAATTTTTGATTTTTGTTAAGCAGACTCAAACCTAACTTCCGGTAATGGTATGAAAATCATTCAACCGTTAAATTACCGATAATTACAAAGTTGAAGATGTCCTTACTTTTTAGATACACAATTATATCCTGTATGTAATATTTTCCCGTAAAATATTATGTTGCGTTTCTTTTGCGTTTCAGTATATAATGAAAGTGAAAATATCTACTCATAATGATATTGTGTATGGTGAACTAGGTAAAGTGCCATTGTCTGTATCTATAAATGCCAGGATGGTTGGCTTTTGGCAAAGAATTGTTTCTGGAAAAAATGTAAAGATCTCTCGAAAGTTATATGAAATTATGTATAATCTTCATAAAGAGGACATTTTCCAATTCAAGTGGTTGTCACATGTCAGTAGCGTACTGATCAAATATGGTTTCGGAAATTATTGGAATGATCAATTTGTTCCAAAAAATGTTTGCCTATCTAGAAAGGTTAAAGACCAATGTAAAGAAACTTTTATATCTGACTGGAAGTTAAATATTTTTAATTCTCCTAAATGTGTTAATTATAGGACCTACAAAACAAATTTTGGTCTAGAGAAATATTTTTCTTTGTTACCCTTTGATCTTGTTTATAGTTTAAGCAAATTTCAATGTGTTAGTCACAGATTACCTTTTGAATGTGGAAGGTTTTTAAATATAGATAGAGCAGATAGATTATGTGATCTCTGTAGTGTTGGAGAAATTGGAGATGAATTTCACTATATTTTTAATTGCAATTTTTTCAATGATGAAAGAAGAAAGTACATACCTGAAAAAGTTTAAAAAGTGAAAAATATCAATAGTTTTGCTAACCTGTTTAACAGTGATGATAAATTTACCTTAATTGGCGTGGCTAAATTTTGTAAGATTGTAATGTCTTTATTTCACTCTTGAAATTCCTTCCAATACCTCTAAATTAATATTGTATATATGTTAATCCTTTGTTCATTTGTTACCTTTTCATTGTTGATTTATTTCTTTTTGTACTTTTATGCCTCATGTGAGGCCATAAAGTGAATAAAATGTTTCAAATGTTTCAAATGATTCGATGAGTAAGAGCATGCTCTGAATATAATCGATTTTTAATTTTAAAGACTTTTGCAAATTCTGTAGTTGGTGTAATGACCTTGTCTGCAATTCTTTGGGTCGTTTTTTGATAGCTGCAGAACTGTAGCTCTCCGAAAAAAAATTTTGACAGACCGGAGAGCTACAGTGCCACCCATAGAGAAAACTGTATATTTATTGCGCACAAAAAATTGCGCTCGATTCTAGATTTATTTCTCCGTTTATTTAAACTGCCATCTGAAAATATTACTAACCGTGCGTTCCTAACACATTTTAAAACTATTTCGACAACAAAACATTCCACCATAACCGTTGGTAATAGCCCTCCTGGGCCTGAAATGGAGACCATCGAAAATTTCACTTATTAAGGTCTTCCGTCTCCACGGAAGACCTTATAGTGATTCTATTGTTTCTTTTTATTATTATTATTATTATTATTATTATTATTATTATTATTCTTTTTTTTAAGACAAAATTTTGTGCACGCGATTTCTCGAAAACTATTCAATGAATTTCCTTGAAATTTTCAGGGATAAAAGGTCTTTGTATGAATTTTATATAAATTCCGTTTTTTGGTAAATTCGGTTCCAGTGCCAAGTTATGGACAATTTTCTGATTTTAAAATGAAATTTTGTCCGCGAGTGTTCTCAAGAATGGCTTAAGATATTAACTGGAGACTTGTTAGAGATGATAGAACATGATTTCTAGATTGGAGAGGGCACCTTTTCGTTCGTCGTCGGCACTTCCGGTCGCTTACGGAAGTGATCAAAGAAATCGTTGAATTTCAACTTTCCTTTTTTAAATCAATTCTTACATCACATTATTGCATCTCTTTTGTAGTTTTGAAATATGTTGGTCCCACCGGAAACAGAAACGTCAACTTCCGGTTATAAGAGAAAAACTACATAATTTGAGTATTTTTCTTTCCCATTAATATCTTTTGTAGATAAAGTATTTGGAATGATTTTAAAATATGTTATTCAGACAGCAAATGTCTAGAGTAACCCCAAATATCTTTCAAAAACTCACTTCCGGTCGCGTGTTTTTTTTTTGTCCTCAAAATGAGAAGTCTGAGCAAGATCTTGGAAACGGTAAAAGATTATGACACCAGACTTATATGAGCAACAGACCTTAAGATGTAGCCAAAACCACTTGGGTTTAGAGCGTCAGCCGTCACTTCCGGTCGTCATAGGAAGTGATCAAAGAAATCGAAAATTTCAACTTTTCTTTTTTTATTTAAAAATTGCATCACTTTATTGCATCCTTTTCACAGATTCGAAAGATGTTGGTCCCACCAGAAAGAAAAACGACAACTTCCGGTTATAAGAAAAAAACTACAAAATTTGAGTATTTTACTTTCCTATAAATTTTCCTTATAGATAATGTATTTGAAATGAATTTTAAATATGTTATTCAGACTGCAAAGGTCTAAAGTAACCTCAAATATCTTTCAAAAAATCACTTCCGGTCGCGTGTTTTTCTGTCCTCAAAATGAAAAATTGTCTGAGCGAGATCTCAAAAACAGGTAAAAGATTAAAACACCAAATTTTTATGAGTAGCAGACCTTGAGGAGTAGGCAAAACCATTTTGGTTAAACGCGTCCGTCGTAACTTCCGGTCGTTTCAGGAAGTGATCAAAGAAATAAAAAATTTTAACTTTTCTTTTTTAAATTAAAGTTTGCATCACTTAATTGCATCTCTTTCGCTGTTTTGAAATAGGTTAGATTCCACCGGAAACGGAAACGTCAACTTCCGGTTTTAGGTGATAAACTACGTTATTTCGATATTTAACTTTCTCATAAATATTGCTTATCGATAAAGTACTTGAAATGTTTTTATGCATTTTGTAGATACTGCAAATGTGTAGAGAAAAGTCACAATTTTTTTTTTTAATAAAATTCACTTCCGGTCGCGTGTTTACCTGTCCTCAGAATTAGAATTTGTTCTCACAATATTGCTCGGCAACAGTAAACGACTGAAGTCTAAAACTTTCAGAACTGATAGTCAGTCATCGGTTTATTTGAATTGCGAGGAAATCTTATATCGCCGTTACTTCCGGTCGTGACAGGAAGTGATGCAAAAATGTGAATGGTTAATGGTTAGCACGTTGAATTTTCACGCTGACAACCAGGGTTAAATCTCCAGAGTGTCTGAATTTCTTTTATCACCTTTTCAGCTTGAATTTACGTTTTTATTTTCAAAATCGGACGGAAGACCTCTCATTGCTCGCAATGAGTTTCTAGTTTATACTGCCATTTTGGGTGGCAAGACAATTCGGCCCACTGCACTTCGTGCAGATGTTAACTACATCTGTAGTTGATAGAGGTCTAAGGAATTTCATGAAACCGAGCTTTTGTGCAGATTATGACAGAATTTGGAGAAATAAATCCAGAATTGAGCGCAATCTGTTGTGCGCAATAAATATACAGTGTTCTCTATGGGTGGCATTGTAGCTCTCCGGTCTGTCAATATTTTTTTTTCGGAGAGCTACAGTTCTGCAGCTATGACTGACAGGTTTCATACCAATTGTTAGGCCATTGCTCTAAAACAATTTTGACTACGGATTATTCTGTTTACTTGATTAAAACAAAGGGCTCTCGACAGGTGTGACTGGTTTACAGGAATGCTTGCTCTTCCAAGGCACCTGATTCCATTTCTGATGTTTCCAGGTGTCCACAATTTTGCCCAGATCACAATTTGTTTTGCTTACACGATTTATGAAATCAATCCCTATTCGTTTTATTTACTATTTTCATTCCATAGCAGCCCGCATGGCGCAGTGGTTAGAGCGTCTGCTCTAGAGTCGCGGAGTTAGGAGTTGATCCTTAAGTCGCGGGTTCGAATCCCACTGTGGGACGTGGAGACCGGTCCTTTGCATGAGACCGTATAAACCGAGGTCCCGTGTCGCAGTAGGTACTGTCACGAAAAAGATCCCTCACTGCTCAATGGCCCTAAGTGCCGAGTATAGGTCAAAAATTTACAGCTCTCCACCGGCAAGTGGTGGCGTCTCCATATGAATGAAAAATTCTCGAGAGGGACGTTAAACAACAAACAAACATTCCATAGCAATACAAAACAATTATGATTTTGCAGAGATAAAGGAGGGCCAGGCGAGATGTGGAGAACATTCGAGTTATGGCACCATAACATTTTTATTTCAAGACGATGTGTCGGGTCTGGAAGTAAGAAAAAAAATATGTAGATTTTCAAAATCAAATGTTTAATTTGCTTTTACAGATAGCTATTAATATTATGATTATATCTAACATGAAATCATTGAAGGCAAAGGGCCCCAGCGATGAATACCTCCCTGTGCCCCCTGTTGAGGGTTCCATCGTTATGAACCTTGGGGATATGATGCAAAGATGGAGTGCTGATAGACTAAAGGCCACGGTAAAAAAAAAAATATATATATATACATGTATGTTGTTTTTTTTTGTTTTTGTTTTTGTTTTTTTGTTTTTGTTTTTGTTTTTGTTTTTGGTTCTTTTTGTTCTTTTTTTTTTTGCAATCCATGAAATGTTTAGAGCGTAATATTAATCCAAAGAACATCTGGATTGATTCAATAATTATAGGCACATGATCCTCGCTTTAAATTAAAGTGAAAGCATTGAGAATTGGCAAAATTCTTTTACATGCAACTTTTTTTTTTACACGAAACTCATGGTGGGCACATATATATGTGTTGTATGTATCAAAATATTCTCATGCAAAATTTATTTAAATCTCTTTCTTCCAGAAACATAGAGTTGTTGTACCACAAGAAGATAAGGTCAGGGAGAGAAAAAGACAGTCCATTTCATTCTTTGTTGTCCCCGACGATGACGCCGTTATTTCATGCACAGACGGATCCAATAAATATCCACCCATACGATGTCTGGACTACGTAAAAACACATTTTGATGCCAACTTTTGAAGAAACTTGTTTAAAATAAATCATTCTGATGAGAATATTTGTACATTTATTCGAAGACAATTATATTGGTTGATATTTTCCTCCAGTGGTGGGTTTTTCTTTTGTCACTAGATTACAAGTGCAAGCAGTGTTGAGAACTATGGCATGTCAAACGTTACAATATTCGATCTTTTCCATTTGTATTCTATAATTTTTCGTTTGCATTGTAAAATGTTTATTTGTATTCTGTATTTTTTTCATTTGTATTGTAAACTTTTTTATTTGTATTCAATAATTCTTCAGTTGTATCGTATAATTTTTTATTTGTATAATTTTCCATTTGTATTGTATAATTTCTCATTTGTATTGTTATTCTCTTTAGAGAAGTGGACAGGCTTTCGCCTACATCCACTTCTCTTCGCAAGCCTTCATGTTTTGATTCTGGAAAACGTGTAAATCTCGAACCGGTGAAGGTCTTCACTTCAACTGACATTTCGTCTAAAATACGTCTGAATGTACGTAATAGACGTGTTATATTATCAATTTTAACATAAATACACACAATTGTCACAAGAAAACTGACCTTAAGTATTGTTAATCCATTTTCACAAGTTCTCCATCCCGGATTTAAATTATGTGCAAGTAACTCTTGAAGTATTCAAAAATCTCTAATTCGGATAAAAATGGAAACTATATTACAAAATAATAATGAAACGAGAGAAATCGTCTACTCTGTTTAAACTAACGAGACAGTATTTCCTCAAGTTTCGTTCAAATTCTTTTGATCTTTATTCTAAATCTTTTTTCATTTCTCGGGAAAGGTAGAGTTAATATCGTTTAAAAATAAAAGAAAATATTTTTTTAGTATTGTCAGTGAGGAAGTAATGAAGTATTTTTTAAGCTCAAATTTACATTTAAATTGTATTAAAATAGTAAAAATAAGTAAAGGTAATAATATTAATTTTGAATAATATGCTAAATCAAAAATGAATTGTCAAAAACTTTTTTTGAACATTAAAATACGTCTTCGCCAATTTTTCCAAATTATCCGACTTAAAATTTTCAATTTTTTCTGATAAGCTGTGGTAGATAAACATTAGTTTAAATCCGGGATGGAGAACTTGTGAAAATGGATTAATAATACTTAAAGGTTAGTTTTCTTGTGACAATTGTGTGTATTTATGTTAAAATTGATAATATAACACGTCTATTACGTACATTCAGACGTGAAGTGTAGACCGTCACCGGTTCGAGATTTACACGTTTTCCAGAATCAAAACATGAAGGCTTGCGAAGAGAAGTGGATGTAGGCAAAAGCCTGTCCACTTCTCTAAAGAGAATATTGTATTGTATGCTTTTCCATTTGTATTGTAAAATTATACATTTCAAATGAAAAATTATAGAATACAAATGGAAAATTATAGAATAAAAATAAACATTTATACAATACAAATCGAAAATTATACAATGCAAATGGAAAATTATAGAATATAAATGGAAAATTATACAATACAAATGGAAAATATCGTATATTGCAATGTTTGACATGCCATAGAGAACAACAGTATCCCGATAGCCTTATAAAATGTATTTACAGAGATAAAATAATTTTGCTACATTGTGATAATTTTCCTTCTTCCTTGCATGATGATGCTCAGTATGCACTATTTTCTTTCTTTTAAATACAGATCGGCGGTGAAAAAGGGCATACTATAAAACCTGGCCTGGCCCCTTTTGCCTGGCCTGGCCTCTAAGTTGGCCTGGCCTCTATTTTGGCCTTTAATTTGGCTCCAAACAAATTTTTGGCCTGGCCTCAAAAGTTGGCCTGGTCTCAAATTTGGCATCTGTAAAAATTTTTGGCCTCACTCAAAAATAATTTTTTCAGAATTTGATTGATTTTTTATTGGTTTCAGTTTTTTCAAAGTTAAAGCAGATAATTAATATATTTCTGTTGATTTTTAAATGTGCTCATTAAAATAATCATGTTCTACCAACAATTTGTTTAATTTTTATTGATTATCAGTCAATTTTCATAGATTTCTTTTTATGATTTGAAGACCTTTGTTATTTGCAAACATTTCATACTGACACACTGCCAATCGTCCCCTTTGATTATTTAGAAAAGAGTCTCAAAGTTTATTTTGTATTTTCCAAATTGTGCACATTCAAAAAACAATCTCCAATAATATTCCATATCAAATGTCATAGATAGCTTAAACAAAGTTCCACTTGTTAAGTGATGAACCATCACTCTTCACACACTGCAATGTAGAATGTTGTGTTACTGATATCCCTGCATGCTCTTGGATTTGATATATAGAATACAGGCATCTAGGAATCTTTTAATAGTAATACACTACCATAAACCAATGCAGATATCAAAATATTTATATTATATAGATTAATTTCAAAATGAGATGGAATTTAAAATAAATAACATCATCAGATAATTAATTACTTTCTGTTTCTGTGCAATAAATCTGTAATTGGATATCGGATCACAAATCATTCTGCAGCTTGGTGCTCGACAGGGAGTCAAGGTTGCTGTTAATCAGTGATGAAATGTATATGTGCACTGCCAGTTTTGTAAAAAAAAAAAAATGCACTGCAACATTCTTTTCCCACAATTATCAAAACAAAAGGTGATTTTTATAACAGTTTAATAACATTTGAGTTGTAAAACTATTGCATCCTATCAACCAGACTTTTAGACTCCTATAGGATTTGGTCAATTACTTGCATATTACAGTGTTGACAGTATTTCCACCAGTTGAAGTAAAAAAGGTCCACGTCATAAAAAAAACATTTTTTATATTCTTAATCAAGACAGTTTTTAAGTACAAACAAGTAACACTTATCAAAGTAACAATATTCTTTTTAATTCAAAGTTATTATTACCTATCTGAGTCATTTCTTTGTTGTCTTGATAATTCAAATTTATGCTTCTAAACTTTTTATTGTGTGGATATCATCAATCCTACCTTTGATATTAAAAAAAAAAATAAAGTCACATTTACTAAATCATTGTGGTATTTTTGCATTGAAAGTAAAACAATATTCTCTGTGTTATAGTCTTCAAAATTGAAATGATCAATAGATAATCAATAAAATAAATCAGACTGGTGGTAAAACATGATTATTTTAATGTGCACATTTGAAAATTAACAGAAATATATTATTTATCTGCTTTAACTTTGAAAAAACTGAAACCAATAAAAAAAAATAAAATCAATCAAATTCTTAAAAAAGAAATTATTTTTGGGTGAGACCAAAACTGAGGCCAAAAATTTTTACAGAGGCCAAATTTTGAGGCCAGGCCAAAAATTGGCTTGGAGCCAAATTAGAGGCCTCACTAGATGAAAGGGGCCAGGCCAGGTTTTAAAGTATGCCGTGGAAGACATATTGCACCGGTTTCGTACTTCGATAAAGGATGATGTGCCAGAACTACTTTCGGCGGCCCCTTTTTCTACGACGAATTATATTTATTCTCCAACGATTTTGATAGTTTTCAAACAAAAGTGAATAAATACGACGCCTTTTGAATAGTTTCAATAGTTCCAACACATTTTGATTCTGAAGATTACTGCATTATTTATGATTTTTAGACCCCATGAGAGCAAAATTCGACTTGGTTTGTGACAATAGAATCTTTTATGAAAAAAGAAAAGGCGAGTCTTAGTACAATACAGGGGTATGCATTTCCAATGAATCTACCTTATATGGCTATTGTTATTACTAGTATTTCGCACATTGTCGCTTACCGAAAACAATTGTCCAATCCGATGACTGAACGACAAAACATGCTGGTTTACTACATGTTTACATTTTATCACAGACACGTGGCTTAGGTCAATTTACACATTATCTCTCTTACACTTCAAACTTTTAATGGCCAGCAAAGGCTTTTTATACATGACAATACGTATGGAACCACAGTGTTTACCGTTTTGGGTAATTCACAATGAAACGTGTATTCACTGATTCTCGGGAATACGTGTAGCCAATTGCCCAACGACGCTTTACAAAACTATGAAATTATACAATGTATATTTATTTTAAAAAAAATTGTTTGTAATTATGACCACGGAAATTGTAGATTCGCGTCTAATCTGTGACTCAAATGAATAAAAAAAAATGTTTATCGGAAAACATGAAAAAAAAAATTATGCCTTTTTTTCCAAGCATTAAATTTCCTTAGATATTTTGTAGTACTCACTCGTAATACAACTCATTTAGCTGATTGGTCGGTTAGAGAGTCACGCCGGTGCTTCGATTAGCATATGAATTTGTTCTTACGTCAGGAAAATTATTTCGTCGATCTGTTCATAATGGGGAAGACCAGCCAGATTTTAACAATGATTTAAACACAACATTTGAGCTCAGTTAGGTACAATTATTTTATCCTTTCACATATAGGTAGATTTCAATAAAATACAGCGACCATCCAAGGGAGAAAAATGTGCCTACGTGCGCTCGTTTATTTTAAGGGCTTCAAAGATTGGGGCGTGGCCAAAATTCAATGGGAATTGGATGTAAACATGGTACTCCTACTCAAAATAAAGATAAATATCTTCCAAATTATGTTTCAATTTTCATTAAAAGTAGTATTCCATGACGGTTCACATATCAGTGATTAAGTGGATGCAAAAATTAGAGTAAAATTTAGATATTTTATTTTTTGTCAATTTACCGGGGGCCGTATGGCACATCATCCTTTTGACAGGTCCATAACGAGATAAATATCTTTTTTATCTTGTCAAAAATGAGCCCATCCGGCTTTCGTACTAGTCTGACGTACATGTAACACAGATATAAATTCTGTTCACAAGTGCAGAAAGTGTGTTTGGTGAACTTTGGTCCCCAAATAGACAGAAGGTAAGAATTAATATCGTTACAGGCTTTTTAATTTGGTTACATTGTAATCATGCACGACATGATTTCTATGAGATGTAAAGGGATTAGTCTAGTTTAAGGAAGCTCTAAACACTAACAAAAAGTGCTTTTTGGACTTGGAGAAAAATATATCACGTAAAGGTGTGCATATTGAGATTATTTAGTTCATTTGCAACATAGAGTACCTGCCTTATTTCCCCAGGAAAAATGTTCAAAGACAATGGTCTATTCATGAACAGAAATCACTGTTGTTCACTTACATTGGGAAAAATACTGAAAATAATAAATTCAATTACTTATTCTTAGTCAAATGTAATGCTCAGAATATTTTAATCTATAATAAATTGTGTAATTAACTGTAAATAACCATTTCTTCTATTTTTCTCCTAAGGGCAGATCACTCTAACTGCATAAAACTACCTTACAAGTAGAACTCTTTGGTGTGCTGTGTTTAGAGCTTCCTTAAATGTATTGTGTTTCGGTGCTTCTTTTGTTCGTTGGTCTTCAATAGGTTATCCTATGGAAAGCATTCCAACACCTCAATTCCTAAAATGTACACATGCAAAGCTGATTTGTAGATTGTAATTCATGTAACTTTTTTTTAAATTATGCATTATCTCCAAACGCCCATTTCGACAAGTAATCGAGTCAGTTCACTGTTGTATATGCACCATTTTTAATGGTATATAATATTTACGATAATAACTTCCTCACGTAACATTCTTTTATAGCGGAGGTGGTACCTGAAGAACCTCTACGCTACTCAAAATAACTGTCTACTTCTTATATGCAATTTGGGAGGAGGGGACTTTTTTTTCTTTTTTGGTAAACGTTTTCAGTGTGCTGTTTGTGATAAGTTTATTTACATAGGAAATAATGCTTGCGCATATCATGTTTTATAAATTTGTGTTTGTGATAAAAAGCCATACATGTACCTACCTTGCCGGCGACACGACCGACTCAAGAAGAATGAAGGTGTGCAAAGCGCAGACGATCCCCTGCTCGTTGAAAAGAATTTTCTTTTAATTCTAAAAGTTCATGAAAAGTTCCAAAATTATATTGTCAATATAATCTTTTACACATTTGCTTCCTATATTTTGTTGAATAAATTATTGACAAATAATTTATTTTTCACTAATGTTTTAAGATACAATGTATTCAAAAGAGAAAAAAAAAGCTTCACACAGAATTCGAACTCTGTCAAAAAGCTCACGGTTAGGTGTAAGATTAAACGCGTTAGCCATGCACTACGAAGTCTGGTTGTCTTGTTGTGTGTCAGTGTGATTTAAATTAACGAGTTTGTTGAAGCGTAATTTTTTCAGAAATGTTTGTTCGATTTTCATATAGAATGGGTTCAGACTCCATTTTTTTTAAATCATGAAATAGATTTTACATTTACTTTTCCGTCATTTAAAGAATGAAGAATGAGACTTGACCCATCTTTTTCAAAAATCATTTTTATGGCTCTAATAAATCCATTTTCCACGAAATATGCTTTACTTTCAACTTTAAAAACAAATGATCAATCAAAAAGTCATTTAATAAAATAATTGAATCAAATGTGTTGAAGATGACATTACTGAAAAACATCGTTTTAGAAAATATATTTTTTCCGTGATGTTTGAAAATTGAGAAATATATTGTCCCAGAGTGGGGGAATGTCCTCGTCTTATACGCCCTCTTTCTTTAAAAGGAAATCACCCGTTTCTATATATAGATATACTTATTCAATTCGGATATCATTTGGGAAGAGTGTTATATTGTTATGCCCCCGTTATCGAAGATTCGGGGGCACATATTTTTTGCCCTCTCCGTCCGTCTGTCTGTCTGTCTAGCTGTCTGTCTGTCTGTTTGTCCGCAAAAATTTTAACCTTGCCCATAACTTTTGATTGATTAGAGCTATGGCTTTGGTATTTCACATGTGTATTCCTTGTTACAAGACCTCTCTTTGGGTACCATAAAATATGACCTTTTGACCTTTGATCCACTTTTGCTATTTTTTTTTCAGAATTTAACCTTGGCCATAACTTTTGAATAATTGGTGCTAGGGCTTTCAAACTTCACTTGTGTATACCTTGTGACAAGACCTTCCTTTGGATACCAACAACTTTGACCCGTTGACCTTGACCTTGGAGTTTGACCTACTTTTGAAAAACTTTAATCTTGGCCATAACTTTTGATTAGTTGGTGCTAGGGCTTTCGTACTTCACATATGTAATCCTTGTGACAAGGCCTTCTTTTGGATACCAACAACTTTGACCCATTGACCTTGACCTTGGAGTTTGACCTACTTTTGCAAGATTTTAACCTTGGCCATCACTTTTGTACGGTTGGTGCTAGGGCTTTCATACTTCACATATGTAATCCTTGTGTTCAGACCTTCCTTCCCTTCTGATACCAACAACTTTGACCCTTTGACCTTGACCTTGGAGTTTGACCTATTTTTGCAAAACTTTAACCTTGGCCATAACTTTTGTACGGTTGGTGCTAGGGTTTTCATACTTCACATATGCAATCCTTGTGTCAAGACCTTCCTTCTAATTCCAACAACTTTGACACTTTGACCTTTGACCTATTTCTGAAAAACTTTAACCCTGGCCATTATTTTTGAATAGTTGGTGCTAGGGCTTTTATACTTCACATATGTATCCTTATGACAATACCTTCCTTTGGATACCAACTTTGACCATTTGACCTTGGAATTTGACGTACTTTTGAAAGATTTTAACCTTGGCCATCACTAACGGTTGGTGCTAGGGCTTTCATATTTCACATGTGTATTTCTTGTGAGAAGGCCTTTCCTTGTGCACCATTAATTTTGACCATTTGAACTTGACCTTGATGTTTGACTTACTTTTGAAAAACTCTAATCTTTTCCATATCTTTTCAATGGTTGCTGCTAGGGTTTTCATATTTCACAGGTATATTCCTCGAGACAAGACCGTACTTTGGGTACCAACATATTTGATTTGCATTTGAAAAAGTTTAACCTTTGTTATGAGTTGCCATACGGGGACATCAGTGTTTCACAAACACATCTTGTTATAGGTGCAGCTATGTCATATAACAATCATTTTACATGTTCATTAATCTAATTTCGAAACGATGACTTTAAACGAGATATCTTTAAACAAAACTGTCGATATTCTTGTTTCATCAACTTCTTTGTCAATAGCTTGCCTCGTTTTAGAAATTGTTCGCACCTAGAGCATGCTCTAGCGAATTAAATCAACTGGGAGACATAAACGCAATATGCAGGTGATAAGGGTATATTGCTACTTAAGTAAGGAAAGTTGACAATAGAAAAGTTGAAGTTATCACGTTTATCATAAAGTTTGTTGTTAGGTTACCATTAACGTCTTTTTCTAGTAAAAATATCCAAATATGAAACAGATGGGTGAGACTCTGTGGTATCTTTTATTTCAAGTTCACTTGGACATATCGAGTCGACTTATGAATGGAAGTTTCTATTGTTAATTGATAATACGTCGTCCATATATCTAGTATTTCGACATCTTATACATAGTGGAGCTAATAAAGGCTCACAAATTCTTGAAACGCACTACTTTCATTATGAAATTGAACTACAATTAATTTCCAAGTTATATCAAATTTTTGAAAAAGACTAACTTTTTCCAATATAGGTTTTATAATTTTACAATCAAACTGGACATGTTTTGTATCATCTTCAATTTCACAATTTTCATAAAAAGGAGGAATATCTTTGCTTTGCTTGCTCATAGTAACATTGTTGTTCAAAATACCATGACATGTAATAATTTATGATTAAATTCTGATTTTCTCATATTTAATAATCTTGTTTTTATATTTTTTTTTCCATATACAACCATCCAGAACATAAAATATTCTTCTCCCATCGTTTTCTAAAAAAGTTTTTTTTTGAAAAATTGAGTAATAACAAGATGTGTTTGTGATACACTGATGCCCCCGTATGGCATCTTATAGCAAAGGTTAAACTTTCTCAAATGCAAATCAAATATGTTGGTACCCAAAGTAAGGTCTTGTCTCGAGGAATAAACCTGTGAAATATGAAAGCCCTAGCAACAACCATTGAATAGTTATGGAAAAGGTTTAACTTTTTTCAAAGGTATGTCAAACATCAAGGTCAAATGGTCAAAATTAATGGCGTCCATTGAAAGGCCTTTTCTCAAGAAATACACATCTGAAATATGAAAGCCGAAACTCCAATCGTTCAAAAGTTATGACCAGGGTTAAAGTTTTCCAAAAGTATGTCAAAGGTCAAGGTCAAAGGGTCAAAGTTGTTGGAATCCAAAGAAAGGCCTTGTCACAAGAATTACATATGTGAAGTATGAAAGCCCTAACACCAACCGTTCAAAAGTTATGGCCAAGGATAAAGTTTTCCAAAAGTAGGTCAAACTCCAAGGTCAAGGTCAAAAGGTCAAAGTTGTTGGTATCCAGAGAAAGGCCTTGTCACAAAGATTAGATATGTGAAATATGAAAGCCCAAGCACCTACCGTTCAAAAGTTATGGCCAAGGTTAAAGTTTTCCAAAAGTAGGTCAAACTCCAAGGTCAAGGTCAGAGGGTCAAAGTTGTTGGTATCTAAAGGAAGGCCTTCTCACATGGAATACACATGTGAAGTATGAAAGCCCTAGCACCAACCGTTTAAAAGTTATGGTCAAGGTTAAAGTTTTTTCAAAAGTAAGTCAAACTCCTAGGACAAGGTCAAAAGGTCAAAGTTGTTGGTATCCAAAGGAAGGCCTTCTCACAAGAAATACACATGTGAAGTATGAAAGCCCTAGCACTAGTTGTTCAAAAGTTATGGCCAAGGATAAAGTTCGGTAAAATTTTGCAAAACTGGGTCAAACTCCAAGGTCAAATATGGTGGTACCCAAAGAAAGGTCTTGTCACAAGAAATACACATGTGAAATATGAGAAGCCATAGATCTAGCCAATCAAAAGTTATGGGCAAGGTTAAAGTTTTTGCGGACAAACAGACAGACAGACGGACGGACAGGACAAAAACTATATACCCCCGAATCTTCGATACGGGGGCATAAAAAATTGCTTCTTATATCCCGTATAGAATTTTATAATAGAACAATTTTTGTTAATTGTTTTTCATTTTAACTTTTAGTCTGCAGATAGATAACTGACAAATGCAAAACATGATTCCAGTGGTTGATTTGGCACCATATACATTGTCAGTCACAGAGGAGCAAGTGGACACCTGTACATTACGTAAACTAGCCGATGAGATATGTCATGCTTTTCAAGATGTTGGCTTTGTCTATTTGAAAAATCATGGAATACCTCAACAATTGGTTAGTGATTGTTAAACAACAGTTGGGAAGCTTCAGTTCACATGTATAGTAACATTTTATACCTTCATGCATTAAAGTCATATACAATAACCATTTTCTTAAAGCATTTTTTAAAACGAGTTTAACGTGCAAAACCATGTGATTGTTGATGCAAAATAGAGTAGACATTAAATTTCAATTAAATAGAGAAAATATATTTGAGATAAATTCCATGTATGGAAATTTAGAATTTATAGTCGAGATAATAAAAAAAAAATTGACATTTTAGATATATGTTTTAAACCCCAGCAATTGGTAAGTTATTGATGAACAAATCATATAGAAAATATCTAGAGAATAAAAAAGTGAAATGAACCGACTTTTACATAAATATTTGTAACCTTCCACTGTTAGTTTGCTTATATAACTATGTATTTCTGTAGATCAATGACGTGTTTTCAACGTCGAAAATGTTTTTTGACCAGCCAGAAGAATTGAAACAAAAATATGCAATTCCTTGTGGAGAACTCCACGGCTATATATCATTTGAGGCAGAGAAGTATTCATACTATTTTGATGATTTTCATTTTAGTTTCATTAAAAAGTAATATATTTTGCCATCAAATACGGTAATTGTAAGAGAATAAAAAATTCAAATAGCGTGGTTCGTTCATTAAATAATAATAAATAAAGATCAAAGATCAATGGAATTCTTACTATTTAGAGTTATTAATTTACTCAACCTTTTTTTAGCTCACCTGAGCCGAAGGCGCAAGTGACTTTTTCTGATCACATTTTGTCCGGCGTCCGTCTGTTTAGCTATCTGTCCGTCTGTTTGTAAACTTTTCACATTTTCGACTTCTTCTCAAGAAACACTGGACCAATTTCAACCAAACTTGCCACAAAGTATCCTTGGGTAAAGGGAATTCAAATTTGTTCAAATGAAGGGCCACGCCTTCTTCAAAGGGGTATTATTATGAATTAGTGAAAAATTAATTGCATCTTTTAAAAATCTTCTTCTCAAGAACTACTGGGTTAGAAAATATGAAACTTAAGAGGAATCATCCTCATGTAGTGTAGATTCCAGTTTATTCAAATCATGACCCCCGGGGGTAGGGTGGGGCCACAATGGGTGATCAAAGATTTACATAGGAATATTTAGGAAAAATCTTTAAAATCTTCTCAAGAACAGCAAAGCCATGATGAGTCATATTTATATGGAAGCATCCTCAGGTAGTGTAAATTCAAATTTGTTCAAATCATGACCCCGGGGGTAGGGTGGGGTCGTAATAGGCAATCAGTTTTACATAGGAATACATAAGAAAAATCTTTAAAAATCTTCTTCTCAAAAACAGCAAAGCCATGAGTGGTGATATTTATATGGAAGCATCCTAAGGTAGTGTAGATTCAAGTTTGTTCAAATCATGACTTCGGGGTTTGGGTTGGGCCACAACGAGTGATCAAAATTTTCTTCTTCTCAAGAACAGCAAAATCATGATTAGTCATATTCATTTTCTAGTGTGTTCAAATCATATGCCCAGGGGTAGGCCAACCAAGGCAACAACAGAGGATCAAACGTCTTGAAAAAATTCTTGAAAAGTCTACTTAAGCCATGATTAGTCATATTGATATGGAAGCATCCTCAGGTAGTGTAGAGTCAAGTTTGTTTAAATACCCCCCCCCCCCCTTTAATATTTAAACTTTCAATACTGAACTGATTTCTTCTTTTTGTTAGCCAAAGTGCTCAGGTGAGTGATGTGGCCCATGAGCCTCTTGTTTCTATTTCCTTCTTTGCTAATTCATATTTTAGAAAAATTGATCAAGTGTTTTGAGTTGTCATTCATCTTTTTACGTCTCCAAAGTCATTCAGAAAAGCTTTTACTTCCCATTCCTGTCTGTCGTTTTCCTTCGTTCATAAACTTTTATTTCTATTTTTCTCTACAGAGTTAATCACGACAGGCCAGTTTCTGATGCTAGAGAGGGCTATACTATGCTAGTATCCAAGGATGGTGTAAGTTGAGATTCTGCTTATATGTCCTGAACAGAAGGTTGTCGGAACAAACCTGTATGTGGTTCGGCCAAAAGCCATCAATATTTTATTCCGTCTTTGTAGAATTCACATGTACAACAGCTGAGCAAACTTCTGTTCAGTTTGCCTGTCTTGGTTTTAATTGAATCTATATTTATTTGTATATAAGCTTGAGCTTTGTTCCTCACGACCCATTTTAATGGATGGAAATACGTGGAGCTCGATTTGTTTTACATATAAGCTTTTTTTAAAATTTAAACAGAATTTTTTTTAGCTGCTATAGCAACATCCAGCTCACCGTGATAGTGAAAATTTGGATCTGTTCATGCTTCATGTGATACAACTGCTGATTTATTTAAATATTTTTTGTGGATGCATGATCAGTAATAAGTAAAATAGCTTCAATCCTTGTGGAAGTATTTCCATGGATCGAAATTTTTATTTTATAAAAAATTCCTTTGATTGGTGAAATTGAGGTTGAATAAAATGATATTAAATCATTGGATCTACATCATGTACATATCCTTGAGAGTTTAAGGATCATTTGGCTTTGAATTGGAGAAATATTCCTATTTTATTGAAACTTTTACAGGTCATTTAAATCAAAAGGAAATAATGACCGTATTTTTGAATGATTTACACTTAGAACATGCAGGGTCGTTTACTCTCTTTCCAAAAAAGGATTGAAACTCGTTTACAAATTTGTGGAAAATTATGGCCAACACACAAGCTTAAAATGCTGCAATAACACAAAAGAATAATAAATTCTCACTCTTGTTTTATTCAGACATTGCCCCAAAACATGCCACCAGAAATAATGTCAACATTCAAGGAAATCTACATTACTTGTACAAAATTAGCATTACGAATGTTGGATCTCCTTTCCATAGGATTAGACAAAGTATGTAAGAGCATGGTTAATAAAACTCACAACACTGAGAAATCTATTTATGAAAACAAGCTTTCATTCTGACATATAAGAACAAATCTTTTTTTTCTTCTTATTTCATCACACAGGACCGAGAATACTTGAGACAGTTTCACAGAGGGATATGTGTTGGTGGAAATAGCACAACGCTTCGATCAAACTACTATCCTCCTATAAAAGGTATATATATATATATATATATATATATATATATATATATATATATATATATATATATATATATATATATATATATATATATCGTTACCAATACACGTTAGATTCCGTAGGTCGTGAGTTCAACCCCGGGCTGGGGCGGAAGTGGGTATCCTTATAAAAGTGAATTTCTTTGTGCTTTCTATATTAATATTTCTTCACTTAGGGCAGTTATGTTAGTTTAAGAGTTGTTGTAAAATGTGCTTTATAAATAAAAATTAATTTCATTACAACGTGTATTGGTAACGATCCTCTAATAAAACTAATGTCCAAATAACTGTATCTCACTTCCATTCCACCCTCAATGACGTGTAGTGTAGGACAGCGCCGCGAGAATTCCATCGGCATCGAAAGCAAGTTTTTAGACTTGCCTAGATAGCCGAGCGGTCTTGCGCGCTGTTCCTGTACTGCTAGGAGACAGATTCCGTAGGTCGAGAGTTCAACCCCGGGCTGGGGCGGAAGTGGGTATCCTTATAAAAGTGAATTTCTTTGTGCTTTATATATTTATATATATATATATATATATATATATATATATATATATTTTTTTTTTTTTTTTTTTTTTTGCAGAGATAAAGGAGGGCCAGGCGAGATGTGGAGAACATTCGGATTATGGCACCATAACGTTTCTATTTCAAGACGATATGCCAGGACTGGAAGTTAGAAAATATTCGTACCAATTTTCAAAATTAACACTTTAAGTTGCTTGCTTTCACCCTAACAAAAATACTAAAGTAGACTTTGGTTTACTATAGTATCAAAGTTGTTTTTTTTACTTTTCTAAATCAAAGTTTTTAATTAAGTAAATCAAGGTATTTTTGCAATGAATTTGGAATTGTTATACTTCCATTTTTGCAAGTCTTACATGCAGTATTTTAATATAAAAAAGAAATATTACTTGTATATTCATATACAATTCTAAAATTTAAACCAATGGTGTGTAATTTAAGAGATATTAAGGGACTGAATATCAAAAAAAAGTTCTTGATTAAAGTTTCATGGCAAATCAAAGTAATCAAAATTTCTGTGTATACTTTAGTAAACTATAGTAAAATTATAGTAAGTTTTTGTAAGAGAGCAGCTAATTGTTCATAGTATGAATCTACAACAAATCATTGAAGGCAAAAAGCCCCAGCGATGAATACCTCCCTGTGCCTCCTGTTGAGGGTACCATCGTTATGAACGTTGGAGATATGATGCAAAGATGGAGTGCTGACAGACTAAAAGCTACGGTATAATATAGATACTAAACTTTTTTGTAGCTTTTTACATTCCATAAAAGCTTTTGCTCGTACCATTATCCCATAGATCGCCCAGATTAGTTCTTCAGGGACAAGCAAATGATCCCCCATGAGTTGCGTGAATAGAAAAAAAGCAAACAATAAGAATTAGCAAAATTCTTTCACATGAAACTTTTCATATGAATTAAACTCACTGTTGGCTGTATAAATCTAAATTTCCCATGCTTAATTTTTTTTAAATTTCATTCTCACAGAAACATAGAGTCGTTGTACCACAGAAAGACAAAGCTAGGGAAAGACCGAGACAATCCATTGCAGTTTTTGTTACTCCTGATGACGATATCACCATTACATGCATCGACGGATCAAATAAATATCCACCAATACGATACCTGGACTACTTAAAAACAAAAATAGATGCCAACTTCTAAAACAAGTTATACTTGTTTATAATTAATCCATTTTACTAAGAACATTTGCACATCGATTTTAAGAAAATTGTATATTGATATATAGCTTCCTCCAATGGAATACATTGTATTTGCCATTTTGCACCAAATAATAAGTGCAAGCAGAACCAAGTACAAATAAAAGTATTTTAACGTAATTAACTTATTATTGTTAAATGTTTAAAATGTGGCAAATATACCTTCTTATATATCCTTGTTATAAACATTTGAGTACTGTTTTCACTAAGAGCCAAGTTTTAGAGAGATATGTCATTACAGGCATACAGTGTATACATATATAAAAACGTGTACCACAAAGTGATGATTTTTTGTTTTCATATGATACCTTTGCAAAACTTACATCCTATCTTTGCAAATCAGTACCTGTCCATTCTACACTTTGTAACGATATTTTATACATTCGCCAGGGACAATACATTTCCAAAAATATGAAGTTTAAAATAAAACAAGATGACCAAGGGTCACAATGCTAACCTGGTTCACCATTCTTTTCCAAAAATGGATACGTACTTTTAGATTAAAAATTTAATTAATGTGGTCATTATAAGGTTAAATTGTGAAGTTAAAAAAAAAATGTCAACCATTTCAAAATACAGCATATTAAGGTTTGATGTAAACTTTACAAACTGTAACCTTGAATCTACAGTACAAAGGAATACCTGCATATTTTAAAATATGCCAATCGTGTTCCTACTTTCTTCCAAAGATGATTTTCAAAGAATTCTAAACATCTATATAACACACAAGTACTCTGAAGTAATATTTTAAAAAGTTGCTGAGGTTCTTCATTGGTAATATCTATGTAGTCTTCGAAGACCAGATGTTGCAACAATCTGTTGAAATTGTGATGGGTACTAATCGAGCTTCTTTATGAGATCTTCTACATGCTTCTTCTGTCAACCTTACATGTAGCTTTGCTTAGAGTTACAAATTTGGGATGGTATAATATTTCCTTTTTCTTTTTTTTTCTAGCATATTACAAATAAATCACAGATCTGCTTACGAATAGAAGTAATAATTACATATTGGTGAAATACATGGAATTTGGCAATTTTTCAAATAAACTTAGAAACTTTGAAAATTTGCCAAATTCCATGAATATCATTTTCCTTTGAGACTATCAAGCTACTTTATTGCTACTTTAAGCTTTACAGCTTATCAGTATATACAATATAATACTGTCAGAGAGAGAGAGAGTACAGAAGTGGATAATTTACAGGAGAACGATGTGTACGTACATAAATAATAGTGAAATAAAAAGAAAGAAAAAACTAGAGTGAGCTCGTTGCAAAGCAACGAATAGGTCTTCCGTTGGAGCTGTGGAAGGAAGAAGTGACCTTGAGTCAATGTCATGCCACATTCTAAAGTTATACATGTACATGTAAGCAATCATGTAAGGGGAAGCAACTTACAATATTTCGCTAGGAAAAACTGTAAAGGAATGTACATGACCTTGAACATTCCAAATGACCTTGCGTCAAGCCATGACACACTCTCGTCGTAGCACCCAATCTGTGTGTTACCGACTTGAAAATTTCACAGTGGCGCATGTTCTTTTAGTCCATACATACAGACAAAACATCTTATCCTTAGTGACCTTAAACTTGAGACAAGGCCATGTCACACTCTGCATGATACCAGCAATGTTTCACTACAAATACGGTATCAAAATTACAGTTTCTCTGTCAGTGACCTTGACTCGACCAAATGACCTTGCATCAAGGCCATAACACACACTGGTTAAGAGCAATCCCAATCTGTGGGTTTCTGAATGGATAAGTTCAGCTATGTTTTTTTTTCAGACCATACAGCGAGTCGGAATAATTTGTTAGGTTCAACACAATGATTTAAAAATTCATTAAGAATGTTTTATGTCCAGTTTGGATAAGTAGTAAAACGTGGAGCTCGGTCCTTTGGATGAGACCGTATAAGGTCTCGTGTCGAGGTAAGTGCTAGCATGAAAAGGATCTCTCATGCTATAAATTTTGAATTTACCGGGTGGCAGTAAATACAAAATTTACAACATGACATGTAAATTTTGTATTTACTGACAACCGGTAAGTTCAAAATTTACAACATATGACAGATCCATGGCACTTGATTCTACCTCTGATTTCAAAAGGTTTGCACTGCTCCTGATTTGTATTGTTTGAATGGTCTTTTAAGCTTGAATGCTGCACAGGTGCTTGTGGACAGGACCCCCCCCCCCATATACACCCTGGGTCCAAGAATATTTTTATTCGTCTTTTTCCATAAATTAATTTTCTAGTACACATTTACAATGTATTCCATATGAAAAATTAAAAAAAAAACAAAAAACGTAGAATTAACGTTTTATTAAAAAATCATACCCGCGGTATTATGAAATAGAGAAGGTAAGTTACTTCCATTTGTTAACACTGGACCCCTCTTGGATATCGGGCCTAAAATATCATATGCCTACCACATGTCACCAAAATATGTTATTACATCTTGTTTCGGTAGATATTTTTTGTCTTTAATCGTGCTATTTAATTGCCTATGCATTCCACAATAATCCGAGTATTTATCGTCAAACGTAAAAAAAAATGTAAGATTTGGAAATGTCAAAGTAGAAATTATACGGAAGTGATGCAGAAACTACACCTAGCGGGTAACTCTCGTGTTCCGAGTTTTACAGAATTAAGGGAAAAGCCAGAGGTCTACGGAAAAGTTCGGGAACATTTTGATAAAGAAGTCGAAATCGATTCATTAGAATTTAAATTTTGCTGCAGATTTTCCAGATGAGTTAGGGTAGTCATTAATATTCTTTTTAAAGGATTTTATCACTCAAACCAAATAGCGTTTAAAAAACGCTTTCTAACTGCACTTAACCAGTTTGTACAATTTTCCTGTTGTTCTTCATACTCACATAACAATTGTTTATAACATGTCTGCAGAATGCAATTATTTGTATTGAGCAAATTACACCAATATTTCAGAATTCGAAGTTTTCTTTGAACATACATTAGGCATCTACCAAATTCGAAATAAACCATTAAGTTATTTGTAGATTTTCGAAGCGACATAATTTTCCTCCAAAATTTAATATGTACTTGCTCAACATGTGGGGCTTCATGAAATCTCCACGTCTCACATCCATAATGAAGAACAGAACCTACATATGTATCAAATAAAGAGAGTGTAGTCTCCACATTTAGATTATTCTCTTTCACTCTTTTCCACCAAGAAAAAGTACATTTTTCCTTAACATTTCACCGTGGAATGCTGATCATTTTCTCCGTATTCCATCCCTTACTGCTCAAAGGCCGTAAGTACCATGTACATTATAAAATGTATAAAATTTCAGCCATTCACCATTTATATCCTATTAAAATTTTAATTCCATCTATTTTGTTAACATTAAATTGCTGGAAATATAGTAAAAAAATCCGGAATGTAAATAATAAATGTTAGAAGTGAAATTTATTAATTGTCGGAAGTGCAATGCAAAATTCCGGAAATCAAATGCACCGAAAATGGTACCTCCCCCCACCCAAAGAAACTATTAGTACACACTTCGACGCTCAATTGACCACTCTAATGAACACATTAAATCGTTACATTTTTAGAAATAAAAGACCTTAAAAAGTTTATAAAATAGGAAAGCTTAGTCACGGATATTAATTGTTGCAGACCTTGTTTTTCATTCATTTGACGATTCGCGAATAACAAATGTCGCGTATGATTATTGGTTTACATTAAAATAGGTTGTGGATTTCTCTCGGAATTCAACACCAGCCCTCACCTATATGTATACGTACCTGAGCAAACCAACCAATTGACATTTTCGGCTCTAAAGAAAAACAATGTATTCTTTAAAAGGGGGGGGGGGACGTATCGTGATGAGAAGAAATTTGATCACCTGTCAGTCCATTAAACATGAAAGATTATTTTGGAATATTTGTATACAACTGCGTGGCTTTCTTAGAACCAAACTAGTATTTGTTAGAAAAATTAAATAATAATTTAGATGTTTAAGAATAGTTACATATTTGTAATAACCACTTTATTTACCAAACAAAGTTTCATCCTTATATGGACGCCGTGATATATTTGATAGGCTGTTTAATTATTATTCGGATATATTGCCATTCAAAGGACTAACACATTTTTTTTTTTAATCTGGATAAAAAGTCCGACAATTTTCAACCTCGTTTGCTATAATTTTACCGAATCGGATCTTTATTCCTTATAGTTGAAATGCATGAACGAAGGATAAAAAACCGTATGCTGATCAATAGAACACATCATTGCGATTGTGTATTTAATTTATGGAGACATGTTTTTTATCTGTTTTTTCCTTATCTGTGAATTACCCGTTTGCTTTGTACACAAGCATGTGTATTCTGAAAGTTCAGGATGTATTTAGTTTGGGCGCTCTTCCATGTAAAACTGCATGTACTTACAAGCATGTATCCTTAAAATCGTGAATTGGGATATTCTGTTTATTCGACGAAATAAAAGAAATGCAGAAGTATATCATTCTCTACAATACAATTATAAGTTTGGTAGCAAATAATGCAAACTCAGAAGTGATTAATTTAATTTTCGATTTTCCCTCCACTTACAATTATTATGCATGTGTACGAGTACATGCAGTTTAAAACATGAGACAGAAAAATAAATTGTTGCAAACCTATAGTGGTTAAGTCGGCATTTAAAATGCACAAAACTTAAAATGAATAAATGCACAGGCGGATAAGATAATGATAAAAATAAGCGAGAGATAGAGTGAAATAAAATTTAAGATTCAAAATGATTTCAAACACAATTTTCCATTAATCGCTATGAGTACACATTGCATTTTAACACCGATATGACCGCGGCTCGCTAATCTCTGCGGCCACGTGTGAATGACGAGTGGGTTACAAATTTTAAAGTTAAACACAGAGACAGAGCGGAATTTAAACTGTCTGCTGTAAGAAGGCGTGAATTATTGTATGTTTAAAAGTATTATTTTATGTATATAGTTTATTTAATATTAAATGAAAAATTAAATGAAGAAACAAGAGACTGATAGTAAAAATTATACTTTACACAAGAATTAATACTTAATACTTCCTTTACTAATTGCAATTATTTGCCGTAGCAC